GATGAAGCTTTTTTAAATTTTAAAAAAGACTTTGATACAAAAAAATTACGCATAAGGGATGGGAAGAAAGCAATACAGCAGTAATTCCAAATTGTTATTTGCTGCAGATATAAACATGGCTGGAGAACCAAAGCCCAACAGACCCAAAGGCCTGAAGAGAACAGCATCCGCCTTATACAGGTAGGTTCTGTTGTTGTGAATTCCCACCTAATGAAATGAATCTGACAAGCGTGAACAGGGATAATCAGGAAATACAGTCTATATATGCCGTGCTGTATGGGCAGGAATGGGGAACTTCAATTGCAGCCCTCCAGGCCTTTCTATCTGGCCCTAAGGAGTCTCTCCAGCCTGCATCTCCCCACTGCCCCCAAGCTGCACTCCTCATTAGTCCTACTTCATACCTTCTTTTAATCCATTTGCTTGGCTGAAACACAATCCAGAATGCCTCTTGCTTGCCAAGGATGGAGCAGAGGGGTATGTAAATGGGTGCAGAAACTAGTTTACTGCACAAAGGTAAAATTCATGTTTGTTGCTCCATCTGCTTTTGCCTCTGGCCCCTCCCACCATTGGTATGTGGTCCCTGAAAGGTTTCCAGACAGGAATGCAATCCTCAGGTTGAAAAAGATTCCCCACTCCTGCCCGATAGAATATGGGGTCCGGTACAGAATAGGGGCTGACTCATTTTTAAGCCCAAGTTTTGTCAGGGGCTGGACTGAGGAGGAATGGTGGGAGCCGCCTCCCCACTTTTTTCCTGAACCTTCCCAAGAGCAGGAGGACAGTATTGATTTAGAACAGTGGTTTGCAGAGGGGCATAGTCCAGAGGGGAAAAGCAGGGAAATACTGGGCGAGGAACAGCTAGAAGATGAAACACCAGGAGAGAGACAGCTGGCAGATTCAGTGTCCTTCGAAAGCATTCCTGCCCCCCCCTTCGCCTAAGACTAGACAGGTTTTGAGAGTGATGGAAAAGAAAGTGCAGCAGCAACAAGCTCAGATTACCTGACACAGAAATGACATAGATTAATGGGGACGAGCCTTTACTGGAAGCAACACCATTTCTAGAGAGATATGCATTCCTTTGTCTCTCACTGTGATTATTAAAGAAGCTAACTGGTAAGAATGCTCCTTTCGTTTGATCTGTATCCCCGAGGCCCGACAGGTTTAGAGTTTGCTCTCAAAACTGCTGTAAGAGTTTTGTTTCCCCATTAACCAGGGGGAGCCATTTTGGGTTTACAACAGTGGTTATCAAGGGGGGGGGGCTTACGCGGGGAAGGGGACTCAACTACACAGGTCAATTTATAACGTTAAAAAGGCATTATTTTTTTAAAAAAAACTGACACCAGATGGTGCTGTAGAGCAGAATCCAAAGTCAATGGCAGATTGCCTTGGGAGCGGGTTCCCCCCTCCCCCTGTAACTTTTTTTATAGTGTTTTTTATATCTGTGTAGAAACAGCCTAAGAGGCAAGGGGGCGGCAGCAGGGTGCTGGAGGTGTAAATAACTATCGGACGTTTAAAAGCTGGTATCAGTGGATCAAGTTGGACCATTTAATTGAAAAATATTAAACTAAATAGTTTTAAATGTGATCAAGTGAGCACATGGAGGAGCAGGGTAGTGGACGTCAGGTGAGAAAAAGTAAATGAAAATGGTAGAGAGAAGCGTAGGAGGAGGAATAACTGGTATATGGAAGGAGAAGGGGAACGAAATAAGAGCAGGGAGGTTTTGGTTTCAGCATGGAAGAAGGGGGGAAATGTTGAGCCAAGTGTCAGGAGCTGGAGAGCCAGTAGCAAGGCCCTAGCAGAGCATCAAGATTGGAGGAGAAGAAGTGCTGTGAATTTCTAGGGTTGGTATAGATGAGATGGGTGCAGTATTGCTGCTTAGACAAGAAGGGAAAGAGCATGAATTTATAGTGGCCGAGATCATCAGCCACACACTTTTTTGTTCTCCACCAAAGGCTTTCAGCTGTACCTGAATATGAGTGAAACTATCAAATAGAGGCACTGAGCCAGGGGTGTGGATGTGCGGGGAGGAGAAAAATATGTTAGAAGAGCGGAACAACAGGGACAAATTGAAGGTAACAACTGCAGCAACAACAACCTTTGCCAACAAAGGTCCGTATAGTTAAAGCCATGGTTTTCCCAGTAGTGATGTATGGAAGTGAGAGCTGGACCATAAAGAAGGCTGACCGCCGAAGAATTGATGCTTTTGAATTACGGTGCTGGAGGAGACTCTTGAGAGTCCCATGGACTGCAAGAAGATCAAACCTCTCCATTCTTAAGGAAATCAGCCCTGAATGCTCACTGGAAGGACAGATCATGAAGCTGAGGCTCCAATACTTTGGCCACCTCATGAGAAGAGAAGACTCCCTGGAGAAGACCCTGATGTTGGGAAAGATTGAGGGTACAAGAAGAAGGGGACGACAGAAGACGAGCTAGCTGGACAGTGTTCTCATAGCTACCAACATGAGTTTGAACAAACTGCGAGAGGCAGTGGAAGACAGGAGTGCCTGGCGTGCTCTGGTCCATGGGGTCACGAAGAGTCGGACATGACTAAACGACTAAACAACAACAACTGCAGCATCTATGGAGCAGGCAGAAGCAGAGGAGGAGAGGAGAGATAGTAGAGGGCAATGTTTCAGAGAAGGCCACTGGCTCAATGGAGAGGAGCTCAGGGAAGGAGTAGGGGGTGGGATATAGGGAGGGTGGACAGTGTGTAATGTTGAAAAGACTAAGATGGTGATTGGGCAGAGAGAATCCCACGGCACAAATGTCAGATACAAAGCAGTTCCAGGCGAAGGCAACATCAAGAGAGTGCCCAAAGCAAAAGCACATTCTGGAGGAGTTGTTTGGTTTTTTATTCCTGTTCTAAAGGTTGCTTCCTTATTGGCTAAGTGAATATGTGGAATTATTAGGAGGGGAAAGTCAGCATTTACTTTACAAAATGTTCTCTTTCAGCTGTCATATCTGTCAAATACCAACTGCTATTGTGCATGAGCTACCAGTGTCACTTAATGTCAATTATCAAATACTGTTCAATATCAAACACTTACATTAAGTACACTGTGTTTGATGCATAATATTAGAATATTCAGTCATCAGAATCCCTGGTGGAAAGTTCTGAGGAACACTTTTTTGCCAAATTAATTTCATCTTGTTTCTCTACAAAATTACTCCTCCTTATCTCTGCAAATAAATTTATTTTTTGAATCGGCTAAAGGGTAACAGATGACTGCTTGCCGTTTTCCTTTTTTTAAAAAAAAGTGTATATTTAATTTATATGCCACATCAAATTATCAAAATAAAACAAACTAAAAACAATTCATTGTAAATGTAACGAATTTGAATAAGGCACCCCTAGCAAACTGTGGACTAGTGATTGCATGGTAATAGTATTTGCCAACATACATACATACTTTTATTTGTATGCCGCCTTTCCATAGTTCAAACCATGCACAAAGCTGCTTACGACATGAATAGAAATTGCATAACTGCAAACATAACAAAAGTAGTCATATTCCTGTCAGTATGCTACAGATTACAGGCTCCAATGTGGTTTGCAGTTTCTCCATATTGGAATTGTAAGCCGCTACCAAGCGCCAAAGGGACGCGGGTGGCACTGTGGGTTAAACCACAGAGCCTAGGACTTGCCAATCAGAAGGTCGGCGGTTCGAATCCCCACGACGGGGTGAGCTCCCATTGCTCGGTCCCTGCTCCTGCCAACCTAGCAGTTTGAAAGCACATTAAAGTGCAAGTAGATAAATAGGTACCGCTCTGGCAGGAAGGTAAACGGCGTTTCCGTGCGCTGCTCTGGTTCACCAGAAGCGGCTTAGTCATGCTGGCCACATGACCCAGAAGCTGCACGCCGGCTCCCTCGGCCAATAAAGCGAGATGAGCGCCACAACCCCAGAGTTGGCCACGACTGGACCTAATGGTCAGGGGTCCCTTTACCTTTACCTTACCAAGCGCCAAATGGACTTAGTCAGCAAACCCAGATTCCATTCCAGTTTGGAATGGAGGGCAAGGTACACTGGTATAATCATGGTGCTAGTCCTGTAAAGGTATCAAGGGTTCTTCAACCTTGGGCTCCCAGATGCTGTCAGACTGCAGCTTCCAGGATCCCTGATCATTGGCTAAGCCAGCTGGGGATGATGGTGTTGTAGTCCATCAGCATATGGGAATCCAAGGTTGAAGCCGTGTGCTTTAAGGGAAAATGATGTGATCACTTTTATCCATTTGTTTGCTGGGTTCCCCAAATTGATAGTTCCGCATAATCATTGTTCCAATATGGGAGATGTAGGGATTTTGTGGGTGGGGTGAGGAACAATCTTCCCATCTTCATATTGGTTCGAGTAAAAGAAGCTCAGCAAGCAGATAAACTCTGCTTTCATCCTTTGCCAACCTCTGCTTCTTAATAATACTCTTGTCAATATAATCTCTTCCACTCTGCCTCTTTCATCGTATCATTAAATCAGGTAAAATCTTAGTAGCCCCTTTAGCACAGTTTATGCCACTTTGAAGAAGCCCATCTGAAGATTAAAGGGAAGTCCTGGCACTCTTGTTTTTATAATCCCCCCCCCCCCAGCTTTCTTCTCTGCCCAGGCTGGTGTTTTGCCCTCATCTTAGTTATTATGTTACCTTCAAGCAATGGTACACACATCAAACACTGTGCTGTATCACTTGTGTTGTTAAGGGAAGTACGGTGGGGGTGGGAGACCAGGGAAATCATCTCTAATAGTAAATAAGAAAGGGGGAAATGGTGTGCATTTAGAGAGAGAAGGTGAGAGGGTCTTTACCTGCTTCCCATCAGAACTCACGGAAATATGAGCACAACACCTTCTTCCCGGATAAAGAGGAGTTTAAGTTCTGGTGGAAAGGTATGATATCTGGCAAATATGTATGAGTTGCCTTATACTGAGTCAGACCATTGTTCCATCTAAATCACTGCTGTCTACACAAACTGGCGGCAGCATTCCAGGGTTTAAGATGGGAATATTTCCAGCCCTACCTAGACATGTCAGGTATGGAACCTGGGACCTTCTGCTCTCGAGGCAAATGCTCTGTCTCTAAACTACAGGTCTTTTTCCAAGGGATCAAATGCCCAGATAGGGCTATAATAGGAATCGGTTCTCCATTAGACAGAGAGCCAAGCCACATGTGAACAAAATGCCTGTGGTTTGTGAGATGAACCAGCCTCAGATTGGGTGGTAGGGAGAGGGGTAAATTTGCAGTGGCAGAGGGGAGCAGGAGTTTGAAACTAGGGAAAGCTGAATTGAAATATGTGGTGTTTTGTCCCTAAGTTGCTCAGGATAGGAATGTCCACATTCATCGGATGCGACATTTACTTATGTACATTTTTCTAAAAATATATATATAACCAGGATCTTTCAAGTTTGTGGGCTACAGATAGAAAAGGGAGTAGTGCAAACGCTGTTATTTATCTTTAGACTTCAGAGCTAATAGTTCAGTTGACTGAAATTGCAAGCAGAAGCATGAGATAAACACCTCTTCACTTCTTTCCTTCTCCGAATGGCATCTGAATGTGAAGCCTGTCAGGCTGTAGGTCACTTTGGTGGACACAACACTGACCCCTTTATTTTTCTTTAGTTGACTTGCAGTGGATCAGTTGTGATCCACTGTTCTTTTTCTCTTGCTCATGTAGTGCCTCTTAATTATTTACTGGTAATTATCTACCAGGAGCAAACTAAATGCAAAAGAAGCAGATGAGTGCAAATTTGCTTAATTGCGTGATTTATTCACATGGCAGAATGGCTTTGCTTGACACAGATTTTGGGTCACCTTGGCACCAGCTTGTTTGTTTATTCTTTCACAGAGTGCGTGCAGCTCCGAGTGTTTGCCCACACATTTCTTTAGGCTTGCTTATACGATCAGGCACAATGATCGTTATTTCAGAAAAGTTATCCCTGGGCAACATTCCCTTTCTACCTAAAAATAAATAAATAAATTCCAGAGTGTTTCAGCAGCACACTCTTGCTAATAATCCGGAGTAATTTATAGGCCACCGTAGGAAGGTTAGAACATAAAAAAGCATAAGAAGAGCTCTGCTGGATCAGGCCATTGGTCCATCTAGTGCAGCATCTGATTCTCATTGTGATCTTCCAGATCCTATGGGAAGGGCACAAGCAAGAAGGACTTAAGCACAACTGCACTCACCCCTCCTACAGATGCATACTGTCTCCAATCATGGAGGAAGAGCATAGCCATTGTGGCTATTAGCTGTTGATCACTTTGTCCTCTATGAATTTGCCTAATTCTCTTTTGGGGAGATCCAAAAAATATCTACATGGTGCCTAGGGAACAACTTGCACCTTAATATCAGCAAGACAGGGAGGGCTGTGTGGAGAGAGTCTCTTCCTTTAAATTCCTAGGAGTTTATCTCAGTGAAGACCTTACTTGGAAAATCAATACAACCCAGGTGGTTAAGAAAGCCCAACAGAGACTCCATCTCCTCAGAGTATTGCGAAAGAATGATGTCAATCAACATTTGATTATCTCCTTCTACCGGTCCACAGCAGAAAGTGTCCTTTCATACTGCATCACGGTGTGGTACGCTGGTTTGACATCAACTGATAGGAAGTGCCTACAGAGGGTGGTGAATACAGCACAAGATATTATGGGCTGTCCCATGAATCCGCTGGATGACATCGCGGAAGAACGTTGCCTCAGGAGAGTGAGGAAAATTCTCAGGGATGATTCACACCCTGGCCGGCACTTTCTTGATCTTCTGCCCTCGGGCAGAAGATATAGAAGCATGATTAGTCACACCAACAGGGTAAAGAACAGCTTCTATCCGTGGGCTGTTAGGCCGCTGAATGAAAAGATAACAATTCTGTGAAGGGTAAAATACACTATTAATGATAAATTGGCATGTGCCATTAAGGTAAGACGGGGAATATGCAGGAGAAATGATTTTGAGGGGATATGGAGGGTGTTTGTAGAATTTGTACTGTTAAAATGTAAAGAGGTTAAACCATCGCAAGAGGGGTTGAAATTTTGGGAGGTTGGATAGTTACAATGGAATGGTTTCGGTGGTGGGGTGCACACTTTGATTCTTATTTATTTATGATGATTACTTTCTCAAAATAAAATTAATTTTATTTAAAAAAATACACTTTCCGGGGTTCTTTGGAGGGAAGCCATGTGCTTTAAATGTATTGTGTGGATGTGAGATCAATTACATGAGACAATGGAAGAGAATGGATTTCTTCTAAGCTTCCACTTCATTTCTGATACAATCCCAAATTTAGAACATCCTGAAAAAAGCATCAGGAATAAAGAAAAAGAAGAAGAATTAAAGATGTGAGCATAATCACATCTGATCTGTCAAGCATTAGCTAACAAGACGGGGAGGGGGGTATAGTTTCCACCCACCTACTAAAGAGACCCGCAGTCAGCCAGCTGTCTCATTCAGATCCCAGGTGGAGAATGATAAGAGCATGGAGCTATTTCTCACATGGCCGGGCTTGATATTTCAGGAGTATAAAGGTAAATAGTAACAGTACACATCCCAGCACTCTCCCCCATCCTATCCTTTATTAATCCCTTCCCACTGGTAGAAACAGCAATTCACCAGTTGAAACATCACAGAAACTTCTTTCTGTGCTCACTGTCAGACAGACCAGAGAAACTGAGTCATTTCTACAAGCCTTTCAAAATAGGGACTTTGATCTGGGAGGTACCACAGGTCCAGTCTTGTTCAACCTGTTGCTGTGAGGCAGAGAGCTAGTGTGTCTCCGGAAACTGCTTAAGGAGCAGGTTGCTCATGCAAGTAAGCCAAGTTACAAGTAAGTGAATTGTGCTGCAGTCTTAAACTGCAGTTCTATGCATACCTATCTGGGAGTAAACATAACTGAATATTGTGGGACTGCATCCGAGTAAAAATGCATCAAATTATGCTGTTAAAACCCCATTGAAATCTATAGCATTTAAAACATACTTAATTCTGGGCAAGATTGTGTCCAATTGCTATGCTTCTAATGGTAGTGAGTTCAGTTATTCTGCCTGCTCTTAACAGGGGTATTTATTAGCACAAATTCCAAGTAATACTGGACACTTCCAGGCCGTTCTTATATTTGGGTGGGACTCAGTCTCATATCAGCAAATTTAAATTGCATAATTAAAGTTGGTTTGCCATTCCCGCACAACAAAACCACCACCAACCAAAAAAAAACCCCAATTCAGACTGGAAAGTGTGGGATATTAATTGGTCGGCACAACTGTGTATAACCTCCCTGCAAACAAATCAGAATGAATGCTCAGTAAATAGCTGAACAGCATCTAGCCTCCCTGCGAAGTGTGGAAACAAACCAGGATAAATGCTCAATAAACAGCTCACCTGGAAGTGATCAATGAGGCACATGATGCTTCAGAATCCTCCTAGGAGCCCTTTGCAGATTTAAATAGTGGAAATTAAAATCAACTAAACAAAGGGTCACCATAATGATGTGTGGCATTTGTCATATCATGTCTTTGCCCACTGGGGCTCTTTATTGAGAACAGTATGATTTATGACTGGATCAGTGTCTGCCACAGCCTTCTAAATCTCTGCATACAGCTAAGGAGCAGGAGGCATTAAATTCTCCTGTCTATTCTCTTAAGGTGAGTTCCCATGCAGTTGCAGGGGATGGAAGAGGGAAAGACAGACTATGAAGATACAGGTGTGAGAGTGGGTGGTATTGTACAGTTACAGCACATTGATTTTTTAGCCATAAACCGGAGATTATTATTGCTATCAGCAGTGAATTCATCATCCCTTAACCATTAAAAGGGGGGGAATTATTTACTGCCTAACTGCTGCTTGTGATTAAAGAGCCTTGCCTTGCAATCCTGAACACATGGGGTGTTTCTGTGCAGCAGTTTATTGTGGAGTCAGGGCTGCTCGTGCACAGCCATTTTTTGTTTGTTTGTTTTTTTGCAGGATCTTCACAACAACATGCTAATCAAAATGCTCCCCTGTATTTCTACACACACACATACCCATTTAATTCAGATTTACCATTTTTGCAAGGGTTATTTTTTGGCAGCGGGTGTAGGGTACTATGGAAACAGTAAATCCAGTTTAATTTGGTGATAATGTGGGATGGCATTTTGATGTGGATGACATAGTATGTTGCGCAAACTTTGCATACCACCGAATCCATGATAAACTCCTATGTGGAAATGCCTATTTACTCTGAAGAACAGCCTACTGAATTCAGTGGGTTGTGCATCTCCAATAAAATTGCAGAGGATTGCAGCCATAACTCCAAGGCACTGTGGAAACACTTGACATGAGTATTTATGTTTGAGTGGTCTTTCTACAGTATCTGCAGGCAGTGCTTTTTTCTGGGGGTACGCATACCCCTAAACATTTTGTGAATCTTTGTACTTTTGTCCATTTACTGTATTTTATTTTTCCTGATTTGGACTATAAAATGGTGATTTTCTTGAGTCAAAATGAGAGTACCCCCAAACATTTTTTTAGGGGAGAAAAAAAGCACTGTCTGAAGGCATGGAAACTTCATATACTATAAAATGAAAATGACAACTGAAGCAACCAGAGTGCTCAGGGAAGCAAAGGTTTCTGATCATATAGTCCCAACTTCATTTGACCCAATTCAAGGTGCTGGTTTTCACCTTTTGAACTCTAAATTTGTGGTGGCTAAGCTGTGGCTCTCTGGATGTTGTTGGACTCCCATCAGCACTCGCCAGCATGGACAAAGGTCAAGGATAATGGGAGTTGTAGAACAGCAACATCAGGAAGGCCGTAGGTTAGTCCTCCCTGCCCTAAATGGCTTTGGATCCTGGATATATAAAAGGAGCATCTACTCCTGTCCTGCATCAGTTACCAGAGGAGGTCCTGCTTCGTGTTCCAGTGCCATCTAAGATGAGACACATAGATACATAGGACAGGGCCTTCTCAGTGGTGGTGTCAAATTCTTTGTCAATTTTCTCCCTTTTTGCTGTCAAGTGGAAACAGCACTGCTTAGCATGTTCAAGGCACTTGGAGGCAATGCTGGGTTTGAGGGGAGCTCAGGCCTTGAGAATTCCCCCCCCCCAACTTTGGCACTGCATCCACTCAGCATTTGCATGCACACACTTGCATGCCGTTCTTGGCTTTTTGTCATCACTGCTGTCAAATAAAACACACTACTACTGCCACCACCAGCTTCTGTCAGTTGTTTAGGCACTTCTGGTCCCAGGGTCCCTGGACTTATGGGGTGTCGGGCCAGACTTATGCCCTTTGGTCCATGACACATCTGCTTTGCATGCAGAAGGTCCCAACTAGAATGCCCAGCACTTCCAGGTAGGGCTGAGAATGTCCCCTCTCTGAAACCCTGGAGAGTTGCTGTCAGTGTAGACAACTCTAAGCTAGATGAACCTCTGGTCTGATACTGCTTCAGATGGCTTTTTATGTTCCTATGCCACTGAAAGCACTTGCTGAGAATTTAAATTAGCTTGGCAAATGTAAGATGGGGGACTACATGGCTTGCTAGTAGTCAATGGCTCTAAGGGTCTTAGCAGACCACAGGCTGAACATGAGTCAACCGTGTGATGCAACAGCAAAAAAAACCCCTAATTCTCTTTTAGGCTGCATCAACAGAAGTATGGTGTCTTGGGAAATAATAGTACTACTCTATTGGTCAGATTGCAGCTGGAATACTGTGTCCAGTTCTGGGCATCACAATTAAAGAAGGATATCGATAAGCTGGAATGGGTGCAGAGGAGGGTGACCAAGATGATAAAGGATCTAGAAGCCAAGCTTTATGAGAAACAGTTGAGGGAGTTGGGTAGGTTTAGTCTAGTAAAGAGTAGACTGGGAGGAGATATGATAGCCATCTTCAGACATCTTCAGACATGGAAGATGGGGCAAGCTTGTTTTCTTCTGCTCTGGAGGGTAGGACCCAAATCAATGGATCCAAGTTATAAGGAAGGAGATTTCAACTAAATATCAGGAAGAACTTTCTGAAAGTCTGAGCTGTTTGACTCCACCAGGAGGTTCTGGATTCTCCTTTATTGGAGGTTTTTAAGCAGAGGTTGGATGGCCATCTGTCATGGATGCTTTAGTTGAGATGTGTGCATTTCATGGGGTTGGACTAGATGACCCTCGGGACCCCTTCCATCTCTATCATTTTATGATTCTTTGCTTTTTCTGATATTATTAAGCAGCAGCATCATTATCATGTTCCTACCAGTGATTTGCTGCTCGTTTTATGAGGGATTTTTAACTGGTTTTGTGTGCTTGGTTGGTATTGGGATTTCCTCACTTCTGGTTAAAAAAACAAAATAAAACCCAGGGGAGCAGAGCTTAGCCAGGTTCAGCTTCCTTGGGAAGGAGGTGACCAGAAGCCTACAGTGTTTTGTAGTATCTGAATTACAAATGTAAAAACAGAGCATAGGTGGAGGCAGACGCCTGAACACCCCATCAGGCAGCCAAAGCCACTTCCACACATCAGATCTCCAAAGTAGCTGTCCCCCACTACCACCGCCAAATGCTTCTAAGCTGACTCTTTCATTGCAAAACTCCAGCTGCAGTCTCCCCCATTTGTTCCCTTCCACAGACAGACACACAGCTCGATTACCTCATCCTTACCTAGGGTGATATGCCCCCTTTCATAACCTTCCATCAATTTTCTAGCCAGAACACTGCAGAGTGGTCCTGTATCAAGAAGCAATGTTCTAACAATTAGCTCCCATGGAGACAGAGCACCCAGGCTAGTAACTCTCCTTTTGTCAAGTCCAAAACACTGCCCAGGTATGACCTTAAGGAAACCCGCTATGAAAGTCCTATTCACTGATCAGAACCGCATAGCAGGATCTGTGTTTGTTTTGATGATTTCTAACCACCTTTAGGATTGTATTATGTTCTTGCCCTTCGATTAAAATAATAATAACACCAGTGGATAGCTCATTTTACCAAAGAACATACACATGGTGCCTGCCTATTCCCCTTTGTCTGATACTCTAGTCTAGGATGCTTTTGTACAATATTGTAACTATTACTATGTTTATTTCGAAACTCTCAAGAACTCAGGAACTGAATATGTGGAGGCTTGGCTGGAACCATTATTGGTCTCATTCCAACACCAAGGTCACTTAAACATAAGACCTATTCACTAAAACATTTTTCTCACGAGGAGGGTGGCTGCCAGATACAGCTTTTTTTGAGCTGCTTGCATTGATTTCCCTCCCCACTGATTATTGGATTTTATGTGAAGTGGTAATTTTTGTGATTTTTTTACAGTGTATGTTGTATGGTCATTTTATTTAGTGTCACCAGCCCTAAGGTCATCTGATACACAACTGACAGAATTGTAGAGTTGGAAGGGACCAAGAGGGTCATCTGGTCCAAACCCCTGCAATGCAGGAATCTTTTTGCCCAACGTGGTGCTCGAACCCATGACCTTGAAATTAAGTGTCTCATGCTGTACCGACTGGGCTATTTGGTTGTTACTATTACTACAGTGCCTGGCGTGCTCTGGCCCATGGGGTCATGAAGAGTCGGACATGACTAAACGACTAAACAACAACATTACTACTACTACTAATACCTAAAAACATAAAACACCCCAGGTTCAGTTCCTCACATCTCCAGTTAACAGGATTTCAGATAACAAGGTGGAGAAAGACCATTCCTTGAGCTCTTTTAAGCTGTTGCCCATCAGTAGACAGTAGACAGTGCTGAGCCTTATGGACCAATGGTCTGGTGATCCTGCGTGTCTCCTCTGAGCTGCCTATAGAACTCCCAGATCAAGCATTGGACTATGCAGCTGTTCTGCTCTAACCAGCTTCAGTGATCTTGCCAGCTTGAATCAGTCAAACATGGAGGCCAAAGTGTGCTCCTCATTGTTCCGTTTAATAACTTTTGATAGCTCTGTTCTCTGGAAATGTGCCAGCCTTTCTCTGAGATTATGAGTAACCCAAAGGGAAAGGGTTGAGTTAAAAAGAAAGAAGTTGAAATTGATGCTTTCAGCCTTAAGACTGAAAGCCTAATAGGTCCCAGAACCCTTTCCTCATTCTTTTTGTCTGTTTCCTGCCCCAATGGGCTTAACTACGCTGACTCACATTGTCATTCTAAAACGAATAATTAAATGTACTGCTGAATTCAGCAATCAGCTATCCACCCAAGACCTAGATGCATCATTAAATCAATGTAGTCAAGGCCCATATCCTGTTGAAACACCCTATGGAACATGGTGAGAACCAGGTAGCTACCTACATATAACCATATCCCTTGGTGATCATTACCATCAAGGTATACTATAGTATACCAAATTATTTACTGCTACTTATTTACAGGAAAAAGGACTACAGAGTATATTTGCTGCCTTTCTTCCATGGGGTTGTCAAGAGCTAAGGTGGCACCCCCCTTGTCTGGAGGATCTATTCTACAGTACAAAGGTTAAAGGTACAGCTGTTGGTTTGCCCACTTTTGCCTCTGTCCCTTAGGCTCTCCTACCACTAGCATGTGGCCCTTGGGAAGCTGCCCTGGGGCTGAAAAAATTGCCCCATTGCCAGCTGTACAGACTCTCAGGCAGCATAAGGGGCAGGGGGGTTGCTCCTGCGGAGCAGTGTGAGGGGCCGAGCATTAAATCTCCGGTGGTTTTTATTGTCCTGAAATGCCGCCTCCACGTCACTGGGAAGTCAAAAATGTCAAGGCAAAATTAAAAAATCCACTTTGAGCCGACCTTTCAAACTGATGTGTAGCTATATGCTCCTTTTCAGCCAGAAATGTCAAAGCTTTCCATTTCTACTATTCGCCAGATGGATTCATGCTGAAAGTTTTCTTCTATCAAGGGTTCCTGCATGATAGTTTCATTACAGTGTATAAAATATCACTCAGGGAAGAGAAAAGGGAAATGGCGGGTTATCAAGGCAGCCGCTGGCACTTTGATGGTAGTGACTCCACCTCAACCGTTCTTGACAGGAGCTTACGCATCCCCTGTCTCCCCGTATCCTGACCCCTCCAGCTAAGAACAGATTGCCTTCTAAAATGATGCCCATTTATCTTTTGGTAGCCCAGCTAACAATAACTGTTGGTTGAGCCTCTACGTCATTATAACCTCATGCTACTATAGCTCAAAGCTGGCTGCTTTACATGAGTTCCTGTTGAAGGCCTGGTTGTGGCTTAATTCTGTGCAAGTTGAGTGTCCTGCTTTGCCAAAATGGTTCCACATACGGTCAGGGCATTTTCTTTTCTTCCAAATCTGCAAGGCTGAGTTCTGCTACCTCATAAAGCAGGAATGGGGACTCCAGATATATTCTGGGGCACAGCTGTTGGACATCAACTCCCACTAGCCCCAACCAGCATAGTCTAAGGTTCAGAAATGATGGGAATTGTAGTCCAGAAACATCTGCAGAACCACAGGTCTCCCACCCCATGTTATAAAGGCTGTGACAAGCGAATAGAAATGGGTGGGGAAAGTTAGAATACTACTAACTGGTTTTCTTTTGTCTACAGTGGCTATGAATTTGACTACGACTACTACAGAGATGACTTCTATGACAGGTAAGCAGATTGAAAGGAGCAAGTGATACACCTTGAGTTGAGCCGGCAGGAGTGGAATAATGCATTTCTGGGGCTCTGAAAGAAGTGCACTGTGTTAATTACTGGGCATCCAGCTGAAGGGGATAGATTTTTAAAAGTCACAAGAGACAAATCCCAAACCCAGTCCAAAACATAAATGTGTACCATGAATTCCTCCCATAGTTGCAAAGGCAATCAGGGATGTGACTGGGTGCTTTTAAAACTCAGGTTTCATGTTCCACATCCACATGCTTTTTTCATAACGCCTATCTTCCTGCTCTCCCTCTTTCCTGCCTTCCTTTATTATTCTTTCCCCTGCTCTCTTGGAGGCATTCACATACTTCCCCAGGTTGACATTTCCCCAATAGGTTCCTGAGTGCTCTTGTCATCTAGGTATCCATAGGTTTGCTCAAGACAAAAAAAGTATTTTGTGCTCAGAAAGTTCCTTCTCCTTGTCTGCCTGCATATGCAACTTGGATAAATACCATTGTGCCTGCTTCTGTCTGCATCTCAAACTGCATGGTATAAAAGGCCACAACTTTCTACCCACCAGAAACGTTTATAGATAGACACTGAAATGAGATAAGGAGCACAGGAGAGGAAGGGACGATGGTGTAGAAAAGCAAAAGAACTGGGCTTGTACATCAGTTCTCAAGTCCTCGGGAGTTCCTAAATTAATTCTAAGAGTGGAAACATTAAGGTGTTTTAAAAATGCATTAAAAGTCACAGTCTTGCAGGCTATAGTGATTTGTTAAGTAAAAGTATTCTGTGTGCGGTTAACGGCATTGGTTTAGCGAATGTGTCTTCCAAAACCTTCATGATCAAATATCATCCCTAGCTGCCGCTTTTTATCCCAGGCAATCTAGTGACTGGCATGTGTGGATGGAATGCTAGCTACCCCTAGAGGCAGTAAGGGAACATTGTCTCATGTTCATCCAAGTTTGTTATTGGTCTGAATGTATTTCGCCGCAGTCTGGTTCTGTGCTGCTGAAAAGTGTTTGTTGTTCTGCTCCTTTTTCCCTTGGCTAAGACATCAAGGGCCAGGAGTGAGACAATTGAATTGCTTTGAAATAGAACAGTTTTGGATAAAACAAAGATGTATCTCAGTTATCATAATGAGATCATCCCAGATTACTCCCACATATACATGAGATTCCACAAATTGCAAATAAATAGTTTCTACAACATTATTAGAAAGTGCTTAAGCTTTGAACACTTGATAGCTCTTAGACCAAGTGTGTGGGCAGAAGGTAAATTGGTATCTACTGGCCGATCTCTGAGTGATGTTCAGATGTTCAGCAAGGATTCTGGCTCACAGCAGCAACAACAAAAAAATCCACGCCCCCTTCTAAAATAGGCTGTTGAGATGAAGAAAGATTGAGGGAAAGGGAACCAGAAGTAGATTTTTGAGTGACATGATTATGAGCTCAATTTTGGTACTGGAAACTTATTCCTGTACTGAGCATATCCTTTAGTCTAAGAGTATGTTGCCTTCACCATTTTACACCTGTCCCCAGCTGGTGACTTTTGGGGCTTCAGGGAAGAAAACAAAAGTCGATCCTGCAACCCTGACGTCTGACCATTCCTGCCTTATGCTATCCAAAATGTATAAAATAATTTTATGGCTTGTTGTTGGAAATGTGGCAGGATTAGAGAATACCTTTTGGTCTGTTCACCTGCATGGATACCTTGCCAGGAAATAAGAGTCCTTGGGGAAGGAGAGCAGCTCTCTGGTAGAGCATCTCTGCCTTGCATGAAGAAGGTCTCAGATTCCATCCCTGGCATCTCCAGGTAGGGCTAGGAAAAGCCTGAAGTCCTGAGGAGCCACTGCCAGTCAGTGCAGACAATACTGAGCCTATCTAGACCAACAAAGTGGCACAGCTTCCTATGCTCCTGAGTGATTCAAAAGATCACAAAATCTTTTGACGTATATAAAAGGAGTTGCTCTGAAAGATTTTTTTAAAGCTACTTTTTCATGTGATAGTAGCAGCCCATGTCCTCTAGGCTAAATACTGGAAAAGGAAAGAAACAGCAGAATTAAGGGAATGAGGTATAAAAATGTGGGGAATAGCATCCTTGAGTAAAATCACATGGGTACTACAGATAAAACAGAAGAGGGTCAAAATGAACAACTTTGAGCCAAAGTAGCTCGCTACAGAAAGCCTAATAAAAGGCAAGCCATTTCCCTTATTATACATTTGTAGACAAGTATTTAGATTAGAACTAAGCATTAGGTTTATAATGCAAGAATTGTAAGAGTTAATGATGTATTAAATTTCTGAAAGTATTGTGTGAGGTCTTTATCGATTTTGCATAGCATCTTACATTTGTATGGCGTTTTTAAGGTCTTTTGTATATTGATTTTGTGTAAGGATTCCGTACATTTGAAAAAGCTGATGTGGAAGTTCCATTGCATAGTTCCAAGTAAGTGTTTGCAATTGTATCATTAAAGGATTCATTTGGAAGCAATAAGCATTATGGCTGGAATCCAACACAGTGCTAAATGAACATTCTGTCACTGCAAGGGTTTCCACTTGTGCAGTGAAATGTTCTCTCTCCCTCTCTTCGCCCTAGATGCCCCTTAGATCTGTTCTGGGGTTTCCTCCAAACCTCTGGAGCAGATTTGAGGAGGATATGTGTAGCAGGAGGAGATGGGGGAGGTTTCATTGCACAACAAGAAATCCATGTACTGATGGGATGTCGTAGTTGAATTGTATGTTTAAATTTATCTTAAGGTCTTACAATCATATAGAACTTTATGGGGGAAAGGAAGGGGGCTTCTTCTACCGTAAGCTACTTTTGTCTTGCAGACTCTTTGAGTATCGGGGACGGGTGTCTCCCATTCCCAGGGTGGTTCCTGTGAAGCGTCCACGAGTGACCATCCCTTTGGTACGGCGCGTAAAAGCAACACTCCCAGTCAAA